GCGATTATAGCTCCTGGCCCCCCCTTCTTTACTTTTGCCCAGGTCCCCTTCCCTGTCATGGCAAAACCTCGTCTTAAAAATATGTAGGGTTCCCGCCTCCCCTAGTCACTTTTTGGTTCTCCACTTCTGACAATTTGTGCTGAAAAAATACTCCTAACATACCCTTTAAATCATCTGAGTCTTCAACTTCCCAAATGTGACCCCTTGTTTCTGGTCCCCTCTCTGGAAAATCTTGTTTTGTCCACCTTTCGCTTCTCGCGCATTTTACTGTCGTTTTCATGTCTCCCTGACCCTCCGCATCCGTTTTTTTTTAGGCCATTTCCCTTAACCCTTTTTTCGTAGGACAAAACCCCTTAGTTGGAACTGTCTTTTTTGCAAACCCTTTTCACTTTCTCTAATTTCTTGGCTTGCTTGACCAGTTGTGGATTCCAAACTGGTGCTGCATACTCCAGTATGGGCCTGGCGTATATGGTGTACATTTTTTTAAACGATTCCTTACTGAGGTATCGGAACGCTATTCTTAGGTTTGCCAGACGCCCGTACGCTGCAGCAGTTATCTGACTGATGTGCACCTCAGGAGATGTGCTCTATATTATACTCACCCCAAGATCTTTTTCCTTGTGTGAGGGTTGCAGTCTGCGGTCTTCTTTGCCCTTCCCCGATCTTCATGACTTTGTATTTGGCGGGGTTAAATTCAAGGAGCCAGTTGCTGGACCAGGCTTATAGCCTGTCCAGGTCTCTTTGTAGTCCTACCTGATCCTCGACCTATTTAATTTTCCTCATTAACTTCACATCATCTGCAGACAGGGACACTTCTGAGTCTATCCCTTCCGTTATGGCATTCACATATACCAAAAACAGCACAGGTCCTAGGACTGACCGCTGTGGAATCCCGCTCATCACAGGCGCCCACTCTGACACCTCTTCATGTTCCATAACTCGTTGTTGCCTCCCTGTCAGATATTCTCTGATCCATTGCAGTGCCTTTCCTGTTATGCGTGCCTGATCCTCTAGCCTTTGCATTAACCTCTTGTGAAGAACTGTGTCGAAAGTCTTCTCGCAGTCAAAGAAAATGCAGTCTATCCACCCCCTGTCTCGTGTCTTACTTCTGTTACCTTGTCATAAAACTCCAGTAGGTTTGTGACACAAGATTTTCCTTCCCTGAAACCGTGCTGGTTTTCGTTCATAAGCTTGTGTCTTTCTAGGTGTTCCACCACTTTCCTCCTGATGATCGCCTCCCTGACTTTGCATACTATACACGTCAGTGACACAGGTCTGTAGTTTAATGCCTCTTGTCTGTCTCCTTTCTTAAAAATTGGAATTACATTTATCATCTTCCATACCTCAGATGTCCATTTTCAATGGATGTGTTGAAGATTTTTGTTAGTGGCACACACAGCAACTCTGCTCCCTCTCTAAGCATCCACAGAGAGATGTCTGGTCCCACTGCCTTTGAGGTATCAAGTTCACATAGCAGCTTATTCACCACTTCCTCGGTTGTATGTATTTCATCCAGCACTTGTTGGTGTACCTCCCTGTTCTGAATTCCTGGAGTACTTCGGTCTCTACTGTAAATACTTCTTTAAATCTCTTGTTGACCTCCTCACATACTTCTTGGTCGTTTCTTGTGAACTCCCCACCTTCCTTCCTCTGCCTGATTACCTGGTCCTTGACTATTGTTTTCTTCCTGATGTGGCTGTACAGCAGCTTCGGGTCAGACTTGACTTTTGATGCTATATCATTTTCGTATTGTCGCTGAGCCTCCCTTCTTATCTGTTGCATATTCGTTTCTGACTCTTCAGCTAATCTCTTTATTTTCCTGGGTCCTTTGTTTTCTGTACTTTTTCCATTCTCTTGGTGCACTTAGTTTTTGCCTTCCTACACCTTTGGGTGAACCAAGAACTCGTTCTGGTCTTCCCATTATTTCTGTTTCCCTTGGGAACAAACCTCTACTCTGCTTCCTTGCATTTTGTTGTCACACATTCATTTCTTTTACTGGTTTTCCTGCCAATTCTCTCTCCCACTGAATGTCTTGCAGGAAGTTCCTCATGATTGTGTAGTCCCCCCTTTTGTAGTTTGGTTTTACCCGTCCTATTCCTGCTACCCTCTCCACTTGTAGCTCAACTATGTAATCAAAGTACAGAACCACATGATCATGTGTACTCACCTAGTTGAGGTTGCGGGGGTCGAGTCCGAGCTCCTGTGTGTGTGTGTGTGTGTGTGTACTCGCCTAGTTGTGGTTGCAGGGGTCGATTCATAGCTCCTGGCTCTGCCTTTTCGCTGGTCGCTACTAGGTCCACTCTCTCCCTTCTCCATGAGCTTTATCGAACCTCTTCTTAATGCTATGTATGGATCCTGGCTCTAATACATCACTCTTCAGATTATTCAACTGCCTGAGAACTCTTGACTGAAGAAATACTTCCTAATTGTGTGTGTGTGTACTCACCTAGTTGAGGTTACAGGGGTCGAGTCCAAGCTCCTGTGTGTGTGTGTGTGTGTGTGTGTGTGTGCAACGGAAGCAGAGGTAGTCAGACGTGTGACGTGTTCTGCCAGCGTGTGTCTGCTGCTGCTGCTGCAGCTGTAGTCGGCTCGCCACGCACTCACTAGGGGCGGCTCCCATCACCCCTTCCTCCAACCCCACCCCCTAACCCTGACGTCACCGCGACGTCACCTCGCCCCACAGCATCTGATTGCCCGCAAGTCCGCCACATCAACCAGTAACACCACATTGTCCCACCGCCTCTGATTATCTGCGGTTTGAGACATCTCTTAGTGATGTCAAATCGCCCCACCGCCTCTGAGTGGCTACAATCTGCGACATCAACTAGTGACGTCACAACGTCCTCCACCTCTGATTGGCTGCGGCCATCGCCTCACCCTGTGACGTCACATCACCCCACCACCTCTGATTGGCTGTATTCTGCGTCTCAACCAAGAGTGCCAGATTGGCAGGAATTCGTTGCTATTTTTGTTAAAGAGAGCTTGCCGGTGCCGGTTGTGGCACAGTGATGGCAGCCTCGGCGTATAGAGCTGCACACTCGTGTACCTTTCATTGACTAAACTTTTCCGCCTCATTAGCCTCGCTTTCCAAAGAAAGTTGAGGCATAATGGAATGGTGGTCGACATGGTAGCTTTCCATCGATTTCTCAAGGCCGCTCTACCCTCTTTTGTTTTTTTTACCCCTAATACTGGTAGCCGAATCGGTAAATAATACCACCTGTCGATAATCATAAAAGGTCCAGGAGGAAATGAAATAGGAATATAAAAATGTGTTTTATATACTTTGAAAAACGTGATCCAGAAACCGTTTCAAAAATACGAAAAAAAAATTGCCAGGTACTCCCACTCAGGTCTTATTATGGTATAATAGCTTGTGTATGTATTTTGATGATGTGTATAAAGCATGTTAGGGGATAATAAACTTATTTTTTCCTGATTTAGCCGCCGCGTGTTTGATAGAAACGGATGTAAAGGTTGTGAGAGAGGATGGTAAGAGGTGAGCCCGCCTGGTACAGAAGTTACCAGTGTGTGTGTTTGTGTGTGTGTGTCTGGTCCAGCATCTGCTCTCTCACCATATGTTGAATATTGACATGACTGCATCATCAGCAGACTTCATAACCCTGGGATTGATCCCGTTACTTCCTCGTTATTACCTTCAATTATCATATAGCTGAGTAATTTGTAATAGAATGACTTTTTGGGGGGTTATCCTAGGTAATTTGCACTGTATGATAATTATGTGTACCTGTGTAAGTTTATTTAGCACAGGTACACATAAATACAATTATCATACATAGGGAATGATAAATCAGACAAAGTGACTTATTTCCATTGGGGTCCTTACATTAGGGTGTTTAAATAAGCTTATTTAAGCTTAATAAGCCGAACTTGTTGACTTGCCTGAGACAGCTACCATCGTGTTGCTTAAGTAGGTATGCTCCCCTACCTTGGATCAAACCTGATTGCCTCCCATTTCTCAGGCGCTGCTATGTTCATTTTGATTAACAGATTAATGATGCATCCCGTACTGTCCCTGTACTCACCTATATGTCGTTGCAAGGGTCGATTCATAGCTCCTGGGCTCGCTCTTCGCTGTGGTAGTCAGTGCCACCACTCGTACTTGTGTGTGCATTATTGATTTGTATTTGCGAGATAAGTTTATGTCTGTCATGTGCTCTGAGAAGTGTATATACTGTATCTCAGTGTATATACTGTATCTCAGTGTATATACTGTATCTCAGTGTATATACTGTATCTCAGTGTATATACTGTATCTCAGTGTATATACTGTATCTCAGTGTATATACTCTTGGTGTTCTGATGAACTACGACTTTAATAACTCTAGTGTAATCGATAAGGTTTGAAACCTAACAAAGTAATGTGACACAGCTTTTATTTTTAATAATGACAGTGCACACAGCGCAGTTATTTGAACCAGTGAGTGACAAACTAAGTTGTGCTATGTACACCTCCAGGCAATTGCTATTTTTCTAGCGTTGTCAGATATATGTAGATCAAGGTTGTTCCATATTCGGTGAATTCATATTCTGATAATAAAAGAAATACTATCACATTGCCTCTTTAACTGATTTATTGTGAGGTAGAGATTAAAATATTAAATATAAGTTTTTTAGGGGGGTTCTTGTGATACTTTTAAAGTGGAAATGGTTAGGTAAGCCGATGAACACAAGTCACATTGTTTGACTTTATTGGGCTGTCCAAGGTTGAATCTACGTACTACACTACGTACGTGATCCCCTAACATTCATGCACCCTGAGCATCATTCTAAAAATTTGGTATAATATGTGTATAGTGCCTAAATGAAAACGTATTTGGTGAAGACGTACTTGACTGTTTGCCAAACTAGAGCCCGGCTCAGTAATAGCGTAGGCTGGAATCTTGGCCGCGATGCATTCATCTGTTACCTCGAATAGCATCAGATGTATAAATTGTAACTCGGTTAGAGAAATGGGAGAAAGTAGAGAGAGATAGGGGTGGAAAAAACAGTGAAAGAATTATATAAGGATGAGTTAGTGGTGTCTGACAACTCCAACAAACGCATCGTGGCCGGACGTTGCTGGATTAGTCACACTCGTGCTGTGGGTGGAGACGCTTGTCTCGTTGTAGCTTGTGAATTTGTGAGTGGTTTATCGCCTAACCACATTACACACTAACCTCTTATGTGAATCTGTGCATCCGAAAGTTTCTCAGGCTGGTTAAACCATACCAACAATAGTTTTTAGGGTTAATAAGGCCGGCCGTCTCCTGTGTTAAAATCCATTTTTTTTTCTCGAGGTGATATTACGGTGGTGTGTTTTAAGCTATGTGGTGGTACAGAACTGTGGTTAATGTGGCAGTTTGGTTGGTGGTGTGGGCGGCCTGTAGCGCCCATACAAGCGGGGCTGACACCTGCTCCATTACCTCGTTTAAGTGCAAGGACGTGGAGAACTGCATTCCTAAGTCTTGGCAGTGTGACGGTACTGCAGACTGTATGGACGGTAGTGACGAGGACCCCACCTTGTGTCCAGGTGAGTCACTTATACTCTGCAGGTGGACCCCACCTTGTGTCCAGGTGAGTCACTTATACTCTGCAGGTGGACCCCACCTTGTGTCCAGGTGAGTCACTTATAGGTTGCCCCGGTGGTCTGGTGGCTAAAGCTCCCGCTTCACACACGGAGGGCCCGGGTTTGATTCCCGGCGGGTGGAAACATTCCGACACGTTTCCTTACACCTGTTGTCCTGTTCACCTAGCAGCAAATAGGTACCTGGGTGTTAGTCGACTGGTGTAGGTCGCATCCTGGGGGACAAGATTAAGGACCCCAATGGAAATAAGTTAGACAGTCCTCGATGACGCACTGACTTTCTTGGGTTATCCTGGGTGGCTAACCCTCCGGGGTTAAAAATCCGAACGAAATCTTATCTTATCTTACTCTGCAGGTGGACCCCACCTTGTGTCCAGGTGAGTCACCTATACCCTGCAGGTAGTGGACCCCACCTTGTGTTTATAGGTGGGTCACTTATACTCTGCAGGTGGACCCCACCTTGTGCCAGGTGAGCCACTTATACTCTGCAGGTAGTGGACCCCACCTTGTGTCTATAGGTGGGTCACTTATACTCTGCAGGTGGACCCCACCTTGTGTTTGTAGGTGGTCCATTATCACTCCTGCAGGGGGACCCCCCACCTTGTGTCTGTAGGTGAGTCACTTATACTCTGCAGGTGGTGATTCTGCCAGGAAGGCTTCTTCATGCCGGTGAAGGGTTCGTGATCCCAGGAATTGGACCTGTGCACCCTTTGGATTGAACCTAAATCCCTTCCATTTCCCCAGGCCCTCCCTTACCCCCCCCCCCCCGTGTTTAGCAATCCCTCCATTACTAATAATACTAATATAAACTGGAGGGGCTCACGGGTCAGAGTTCGTGAGGGGATCTTGATCCAAGGAATTAGAGCTACCCCTCTCATTTCTCAGACCGCATGATTCCTCTCCACCCAACCATTCCCCCCCAGACGCTTCCTGATCTATGCAGTTTGAGTGTTCCAAACAATGTAAAAATAATGGGGTTGCTTCAGTTCCTTCATTCCCCCAAGGCACTTTGACACTACGGGTTTAGCGCTCCCCTATAAATGTAATAAGGATGTAAGGACTCAGAAGTGGGTAGATAGGTACTGAGTGGTGATGCAGGTACTGAACACGTCAGACTTGACCTGGATAGCATGTCTTCTGAAGGATGTGCATGTCAGTGTCCTCATGACTAGAAAATTCCTCGCTGGTGCATAAGTAACAGGAGGCTTAGGTTCATAATAAATTCTACCGACCTCTTATTCATCAATCACAGGAGGATTAAACAAAACAAGTCACTGTCTGACTGGGGGGGGGGGTATTAATCCTAACTTGCTGGTATGTAAGACACTGGAGTCCTGACTGAAAAATAAATACTTCCTGACTTAGCGTGACATAAGTCATAGTAGGCTTAGCTATATGAATTTTTAAAAGTCCACCAGGGTTATTATCTTGGGTGTAATTTTCAGTGTCACCAGTGCGTGCTTAATACTTCCATTGTATAAATCTTGAAAAAAAGGAAAACTAACCCTAGGGGCTAATGGACCCATAATAACGGTGTTTTTAGTGTCCTTGTCCACAGGAAGGTACCACAACAGTCTGCTAACATGCAGGTTCTTTTAAGAGAGCAGGAGCAAGGTTAACATTCTCCACATCCCCACCCACCCCAGGATCGAACCCAGAATCTTAGGTTGTGAACCAAAGGCTCTACCAACGAGCCAAACACCAACTAAATTCACGTGTTTGATAAATCTATTACTGAGTAATATTTGCAGTGCAGTGACCGTTCATATGCGGGTACCTTAATACTGCTGAAGGGCTCTTGATCCTAGGAACTAGATCTGGCTTCTGGTGAATCGAGCCTGATAGATCCTATTCCTCAAGCGTTATTAACATTAATAGTATTTATAATAGTTATAATTTAAACAAGCAGAAGTTTGCAAATTATTTAGCAAGTAAATAAGTTTATTTAGGCACAGGTACACACAAGTACAATTATCATAGTATAAATTACTTAGGATAACCCCCTAAATCAGTGACTTATTTCCAGTGAGGTCTTGAGTCCTTGGTGCAAGGCGTGAAATTTAAGACTGATTTCTAAAATTGACAATAAAAACATCTAAAATGTATACTGTTGCCCTAATGTAGTGTTAAATTTAATAGCAAAATTTGTATTGATAATTTAAATTGCTCCTAAATGTATTGCAATGGCGATATTAATTTGATAAATTAGGTTCATCCATTGCGCTGAGTCCAGAGTGTTATTTATGACAGATCTGTATTTTAATAAATTTACCTGTTAAATAATATGATGAAGCATTAAACTCGAGTGAGAGGTCATAGAGCGTCTGGGGAAAGGTACTCAGTCTTGTTTGAAGAGGAGGAAATATAATAATACCTTGGATCAATTAAGTCAGTACAGGGAAACTCCCAAGAAGAGTTCCCTACGAAAGTCAAAAGTCAGAGAAAACTTTGTTAAACGATGAAGAACCCTTGCTAATTATACCGAGTAGATGGTAAGGTAAGACAAATCTGTTAATTTAGTCTACCTGAGATTGGCAAATGCAAGTAACACTTCTGCCTTCCAGATTTCCTAGTAATACCTAATTTCTGATTTAACAAACTTTAGTTCGAAACGAGTTACGGTTACTTTCCACTGATGCGAAACAATGGGCGAGTGCACACCGTACCTGACTGCGGCACCCGTACGATAATCTGTGATAAGATTGCGTAACCAAGGAACTGAAGCTACCCTTCCCAGAATCGAACCGGATAAGCCTTATTCACCCCCCCCCCCTTTCCCCCTCACCCTTCAGATTTCCCGTGCGTTGTATGACCCTTACGGGTTCAGAGCTTCCCTACATGGTGACTGCAACTATTTCTAAATTAGTCTGTATTTTTTAATATATCAGTAAAAAGCTTAGTCTGCAAATTAAATTTACATAGCGTATTATTAGTAGTAGTATTATGACATTTTACAAAATCAAACATTTGACTTTGTAATTGGTCTAAGACGGACCGAAACGTCGTCGAAAGCTCCTTTCTCCCATATGCTGGTTATTTGTATATTACGTAACAGTAGTTTGGTTGTAGATAACGAGGATAACCCAGAAAGCAGCATGTCACTAGGAGGTCATCCCACACCAGCGTAGTCTAAGTGTATCCAGTACGCAATATAATTATCTAGGTGTGGCGTTTTGGCATACTAGTCATTGTTTGCACAGAACAATACACATCTAGGTAAGCCACTGAGGCAGGTATTTCCCAGGCTCTGCGACCCTTACGGGTTTAGCGTCTCCCTTATGAAGGAAGACGATAAAGGAACGCATTTTACCGCATTTTTTTTTTCCATCCTGTCAGTATTTCACATAATTTCTCTCCTCCCTTAGGAACCTAATAATGTGAAGTAGTGTGGTGGCAGAGTAAGCCGCCTTTGGACAACGTTTCTCTCACAAGTGAACGTTTCCATGGCCTGGCCTAGCAATCTCCCTCGTGAAAGATGCATTGTCAATAGAATCTTGGTCTACTATAAGCATTTTCGTAGTGCACAACCAGTCGGTGTCTTTTGTACATTTCGGACAAATAAATAACAAAAAGGCACAATACCGTGACTGGAACGATACACAAATAACCCGCACATAAAAGAGAGAAGATTACGACGACGTTTCGGTCCGACTTGGACCATTGACTGGCGATTTAGTGGCAGGCCTTGGTGCTCCTGTTAATATAACTTGACTGAATAGATTTTTATATGCTTTACACAAATAACCCGTACATAGGAGAGAGAGAACCATACGACGATATTTCGGTCCGACTAGAACCATATACAAAGTGACCGTCACTTTGTATATGGTCGAGTATTACAGAAACGTCGTCTTTAACCTCTATGTGCGGTTATTTGTGTATTGGCTCAGCTACTGTATTCTGCCATTTTATTCCTTCTGTATGCTTTATCATTACAGTCTTCGCTGCGTCACTTAATTTAAAAAGTTAATTTCTTGCATTCCAGGCATCTTAGCTGGTTTAATTTTCAGATACAGTATTTGATATATAATCACAGAACAGGTTGATTTTTTTTTTTAAGTTTCATTGGACCATAGTTAAAAGTTCCTCGTGTGTAACTAATTTATCCCACAGTAAAAAATGAGAACTTTGTCAATTTTATTCCTTTGGTTGGCGACTCACTCGCCTCACACTGAGTGTACGGGGTTCGATCCCCGCCTCGGGAGGAAATGTTGGGGCATGTTTCCTTACACTTGCTGTCCCTGTTCACCCGGAGGTAAATAGGTACATGGTGTAAGTCGACTGGTGTGGGTCACATCCTGGGGGACAAGATTGAAGGACCCCAGTGGAAATAAAATGCAGTCCTCGATGAGGAACTGACTTTTCATGGGTTATCCTTGGTGGCTAACCCTCAGGATTAAAAATGCGAACAAATCTCAACTTACTCTTAAGATGTTTTCCATTAGTTTACATTGGAAAGTAACTTAGTAATGGCAGATGACATGTTAGCTGCAAATACTGTACTGCCGTCTCTGTTGTAAACTGTGTCCCATTAAATGCTTATTCTGCAGCGTGTGTGTTGTAGATAATGCATTACGGACTGATGGAATATGTGCGAGTGTAACAGTTAAATGGCTTGTCTCCATGTTAAACCGAATAAAGGCATTAACAATTAGAATATAGCAGTGCTGTGAAACATATTTTGTATATGACGCCTTTCTGTTACAAAAGATCCCTTCGAGGGAGGTTCCTTGATGCTAGTGAAGTGCTCTTGATCCAAATAATTAGTTATAATTCCCTTGGGTTGAACCTGATTATCTCCCATTCATTATATCCATGGATATAATAATAATAACAATAACACAGCTTTGTCTATGATTCCCTGAACACTCCGTAATGGTTGTGATCTCTAGATATTGCTGTACCACGGTTTTGTCCATTAGTTTTACCATGAAAATTTTCGTTCC